TTATTTATTTATTTATTTATTTATTTATTTTAGGATTTTTTAAATTCATTTTATTTGACAGAGAGATCACAAGTAGGCAGAGAGGCAGGCAGAGAGAGAGGAGGAAGCAGGCTTCCTGCTGAGCACAGAGCCCAACGCAGCACTCGATCCCAGGACCCTGGGACCATGACCTGAGCTGAAGGCAGAGGCTTTAATCCGCTGAGCCACCCAGGCTCCCCCAGTGTCAATGTTTTAAAAAGGAAGTTACAATTATCCCACTGTTTCAAATATATGTGTGCATGCAAATACTCATAGAAGGTCTAGAAGAACAACCAAAGTTTCATGGTGTTAAAGGATTTAGAGTGTTTTAAAATATGTTCTTCTTTCTGCTTATCTGCATTAGCTGATTCTATAAAATACATACATTGCTTCCTGGGGGTTAAAAGGTAACTTACTAAAGCTAAATTACATCCCTTCTCTCTCCTTCTCTATGGTAGATTTTGTCAACTGGACAAAAATGTTTATTTCCACAATGTAAATATTTGTTCTACAGCAGAAAGCAGGGCTACTGCTCCAGCTAACTGCAAGTCCTCAGGATGAATAACTTGATTAGTGGAGGGCAGTGAGAAGAGGGCACCACTGGTCACTGAGAACACTGCTTTCAAATTCCTACAGCCATGTGTGCAGACTTCAGTCAGTCATAAGCTCAGTTAGCTGTCAAGTATGGAGAAGGGAGAAGAAAACTAGTAATTGCTGAATAGTTATTTATTATGTAGGTGAGCACAGGGTTATGCACTACTTTTTATTAGGTGTGTTTTGTCCCCAAAACAACCCTGTTGGCTATTATTATTCCCATTTTACAAATGAGCAAATTAAGGTCTAAGACGATTAAGTAACCCATCCCCATATGCCACTTCACTTTGGCCCCAACAAAGGCAGCTGGTGCATGTGTGTAGCCCACAGAGAGGACACTCACTGAGGGCCCAGCTCTGGTGGCCAAGGGGGATTGTGTTTCTGGGCCCTGAGGGTCTGAAACAATTGGAGATGCTGCTCTTGGCAGACTACCAGCCTTGGGGCATTGTACAGTCAGTAGACTTCAATACATCTCAGTCTTTCCTTTGAAAATGGCTTACCTACTAGATCTGGAGCTTCAGCCTAAGGCATAGCCTTCAGATTTTTAACACATCTAGGGTCTATGGAAATGCTCTCAGAAAACATAAGCTGAGGGGATACTATTTACCTATGAGCTCTCACTATGGCCTGCTATAGCTCACTAGTACCTCCAGAAAAAAAGCCCAAATACTTGTCCAAAGCCTCAAATTTTGCAATTGTCACTGAGGGGACACCTCCAGATCACTTGGTCTGGAGGCCAGCAAGATCTGTAACTGCAGTCCAATAGGACTGTATATATTTGCCTATTTTAAATGCTCCTGCCTGAGGGTCTAGGTTCCAATCAGCCTGAAACTAGGAGATGACTAAGATCCCTCCCCCTGGAATACTTAAGGTTTTGCTTGGTACACCCTCAACAGCTGGGACCCACCAAAAAAACAACAGGCTGCTTAGACAATCACCAAGATTTGAAAGACAACCAAAAACTAGGCCAAGGTTAAATGATAAGGCTTATCTCCCAAACAGTGCCACTCCTGCAAGACCAGGAGACATAGCTATTTTTTCACCTAAAACACAGGAACAGAGGCTAGAGCAAAATGAGGCAAAAGATAAATATGTTCCACATGAAAAAATAAACTAAACAACAGAAAAAAACTTTAATAAAATGGAGATGAATAATTAACCAGATAAAGAAATCAAAGTAATGGGCATTAAATGTGCTCACCAAACTTGAAGAATGTATGAACACAGTAAGAACTACCACAAAGATACAGAAAATTTTTAAAAGTACCAAACAGAAGTCACAGAACTGAAGAATACAATAATTAAACTGAAAAATGCAAGAGGAGTTCAACAGCAGACCAGATGAAACAGAGGACAGAAAGGGGCAGAAAATTTATTTGAAGAAATAATGGCTAAAACTTCCCTAGAAAAAGAAATAGACATTTCAGTCCAGGAAGTCCAGAGAGGTTGCAAATAAGATAAACCCAAAAGAGCCATACCAAGTCACATTATAATTTAAATGTCAAAAGTTAAGGATAAGGAGAGAATCTTAAAAACAGCAAGAGAAAATCAACTTGTTACATACAAAGAAACCTCTATAAGACAATTAGCAGTATTTTTAGAAGAAACTGTGTAGACCAGAGAGTGGCATGATATATTCGAAGTACTGAAAGGAAACACTTCCTACCAAGAATATTCTTTCTGGAAAGGTTATCATTCAGAATTGAGAAGAGATTAAGAGCCTTCCAGACAAACAAAAGCTAAAAGAATTTATCAGACTTAGAAAAAATGTTAAAGGGACTTCTTTAAGCAGAAAAGAAAGGACACTAATTAATAACAAAAAAATATGAAAGTAAAAATTTCACTTGTAAAAACAAATCTATAGTAAACATAGTGCATTAATAACTTACATAGTATGAAGGTTGGAAAAAATACTGAATATAACTATAACCACAATAGACAGTTAAAGGATACACAAAATAAAAAGTTGTAAATGTGACATCAAAAACACAAAATGTGTCGGAGGGAGTAAAAGTGTAGACTTTTAAAATGCATTCAAACAATCTGCTATCACCTTAACATAGACTTTTACATATAAAGGCAGTAATATATGAGCCTCATGGTAACCACAAAGCAAAAACATAGTACTGAATAACCCATGGGTCAACAAAGAAATTAAAGAAATGTAAAATACCTTGAGGGCAAATGAAATGGAAATAAAACACACTATAATCTATAAGAAGCAGCAAAAACATCTTTTAAGAGGCAAATTTCTAGCAATACAGGCCTACCTGAAGAAACAATACAATATTAAATAAACAATCTCATTCTACACCTAAATAAAATAACCCCTAAATTAGTAGAAAGAAGAAACTAATAAAGAGTGGAAATAAATGAAACAGAGACTAAAAACATAAAATAGAAAAGATCAATGAAACTAAGCCAGATTAATAAAATCAATAAACCTTTAGACAGACACACTAGGAAAAATAGAGGGAGGGCTCAAATAAATAAAATCAGAAGTAAAAGAGAGTAAGTCCCAACTGATACTGAAGAAATAAAATACAAAGGATCATAAGAGACTACTATGAACTATTATATGGCAATAAACTGGACAACCTAGGGAAAAAAATGGATAAATTCCTAGAAACACAGAATCTTCTAAGACTGAATCAGGAAGAAAACAGAAAATCTGGATAGATGGATTACGAGTAAGGAAATTATATCAGTAATTGAAACCTCCCAACAAACAAAAGTCCAGGACCAGACAGCTTTACCAGTGAATTCTACCAAATATTCAAAGAAGATTTAATACCTATCCTTTTCAAACACCTACAAAACTGAAGAGGCAGGAACAATGCCATACTCATTTTATGAGACCAGCACTACCCTGACACCAAAAACAGATGACCAAAAAAAAAAACCAAAATTATAGGCCAATATCCCTAATGAACATAGATGTGAAAATCTTCAACAGAATATTACCACATTCAACAATACATTAAAAGGATCATACACCATGATCAAGTAGGATTTCTTCCAGGGATGTAAGGATGGTTCAACATCTTTAGAACAATGAATGTGACACGTTAACAAAATGAAGAATAAAATTTATTTTTTTTTAAACAGGCAGAGGATTTGAATAGACATTTTTCCAACGAAGACAACGGATGGCCAACAAGCATACAAAAAGATGCTCAACATCACTAATCATCAGGAATTGCAAATTATAACCACAATGAGATATAACCTCATATCTGACAAAATGGCTATTATCACAAAAATAAACATGATTGAAAAGAGCATGAAGTTTCCTCAAAAACTTAAAAATGAACCACTAGTCACTTATTGAAAGAAAACAACACTAATCCAAAAAGATCTGTGCACTCCCATGTTCACTGCAGCATTGTTTAAAATAGTCAAACTATGGAAAGAATCTATGTGTCCATCAGTGGATGAACATATAAAGATGTGCTGCGTATGTGTGTATACTACTCGCCATCAAAAGAAATGAAATCTTGCCATTTATAATACAGATGGGTCTCAAGAGTATCATGTTAAGTGAAATAAGTAAGACAGAGAAAGACAAGTACAGACTCATCTCACTTATATATGGAATCTAAAAAACAAAACAAACGAACAAACGAACAAGATTCAGAGATTCAGAGAACAGACTGGTGGTCACAGGGTGACAGGGTTTGTCTGGGAACAAAATCGATGGAGATAAGGAGGCACACCTTTCCAGTTATAAAATAAATATCATGAGAATGCAACATACTATATGGGGACTATAGTCAGTAATACCGTTATCATGAATTTGAAAGCTGCTAAGAAGGTAAATCTTAAAAGTGTTCATTATATGGGGAATATGTTGTAAATTCTGTATGGTGACAGATGGTAAACACACTTAATGTGATCATTTCACAATCTATGCAAATACTGAAATATGTTATAAACCAATAATCAGTATAATGTTGTATCTCAATTGTACTTCAACAAAAAGTGGACAAATAAAAAATTAAAAGATTAAGTAACTAACTAGGGGCACCTGGGTGGCTCAGCTGGTTAAGCGGTCAACTCCTGATTTTGGCTCAGGTCATGATCTCAGGAACGTGAGATCAACCCCACATTGGGCTACGCACTCAGTGGGGTGTCTGCTAGAGATTCTTTCTCTGTCCCTCCTCCTGCTCGCTTTCACTCTCTAAAATAAATAAATAAATCTTTAAAAAAGAGAGAGAGATTAAATAACTAACTCAAAGTCATACCATAAGTAGGAGAGCCAGTATTAGAATCTACATCTCTATCACTGGAGAGCCTGAAACCTTTCTACTACGCACTGTGGCTCCCACCAAACTCAGCCGACGCACGAACCTGTAACTGTAATCTTAATTACTGAAAGACAATCTCACCTTATTGGCAACAGCATTGACACTTGGCCGGGCATCAAATATAAAGATTTTATGAGACTGGGCATTGGAGTCCATGATAGCTTGAAGGTATTTTTCATCTTCTTTGCTTCTCTTTCCACTCACTCCTACCATGGGCTGGCTACACCGAGTGATAGTGGCTTGACTTTCAGGATGAATCCATGATAAAACCTTAATGGGGGAAAAAACAGTGACATACTCTTTATATAATTCTGTTTATAATTCTTCTCCAAAACATTACTCTATAAAATTCTGCTTTCTGATTGGTTCCAAAGCCTAGACACCAAAGTCCATTCAAGGCTGCTATAAAAATCATCACCTTTCTTTCAAGCCAACTCTGGCATTTGGAAAATTTGGTCTAATCCTTTAATCAGGTATTGATTTATGGAAGTCATGATTATTCAGAAGTCTCTAGAATCAAAATACAATAAAAGGGGGTTAAGTAAACCCCTTAAAGTTTTATTACTAAAGCAACAGACTGTCCAACTATAAAGTCTTCAGAAGCTATGACTTTTGTACCTAAAATTGAGCTGATCTTTCTAAAACACAGTAATTCATCAAAATTTGTAAAGTTTTCTTCTTTCTAGGATTTAAAGGAAAAGAGCATTTATTGCCATGATTAAATAATACATAATAAAATAAAGAAATAGTGAATAATACTGAGTCAACTTTGTTTTCGAGTTAAGAGTCACCATTGTGTGCAGTTCTCTCCTACCAATGGCAGACTCTCCAGAAACTTCCTTAATCTAAGTCTTTCCTCCAGTTTTAATTTTACTAAATAACTCATTCTCTCAAATCCCCATAAAAGACATGTTGCTGTAGCTATTTTTATTCTGCAACATTCTCCCATTCATTAACCTCAGTGTTACATACAGTACAAAAGCATTTGCAAAGTCACATCAAAGCTTCACACTTACTGGGATACGGCCCCTTGACCTGAAGGATGCCACTCTTTTCAATTCTTCATCAGGAATATTTGCTGGCACAACCAAGAGGGCAGGGTATGTATCACAAAGTTCATAGCGTTCATTTATCTTTGTTATTCTCCAGCTTTCATTCGGAATTCCCTACATGGGAAAGAGAACATAAGGCAAATTACCACCGAAAATATTAAAAGCTACTGAAACAAAAGCCATCTTATTTAACCCCTCTTATCTCAACTATCCATTTCTTAACTTGCTGGAATAGTTACTGTCTACCTGTAGTGACCAGGCTTTTAGGATGAGCTATTCTAATGTAGGGATCTGTGTTCATTTTGATGCTAAATATATATTGAAAGATTTCTTAAATCACTAAATACTGATAGACTGCTAGGTCTGTGCTAAACATATGCAACTGGAAGGAAGGACACAGTAAGACTGCGAATGTTCCCTGTCTTAACAAAAAGTCTCACTGTGGTTGATTGGATGGTTGATTTTGCTGCCATTCGTCTACATAAAGAAATTTCAGGGAGCAGGTACTCAGTATCCAGCAGAACACCATACATATATTTATCATTCAACTAACTAAAGTGAATTTTTCCCTTTAAATTATAGTACTAATGGGAATGTTGCTAATCTAACACATATTTGAAAAGTAAGGGAATAACAGAAGCCAAGAGACAAGAAATACTTTAACTTTTTAAAAACACATCAATTATTAAACTCTCATTTGATCTTCAGCATTAGCTATAACTAGTCTACTACTTCACATAAATGGTATGTGAAGTAGTAGATATGTAAAGAAGTAGATACTTAAAATTCTTCCATCTTTCATTCTACAGAAAATAAAGCCATGAAATTAACCAGAACTAAGAAAATATATATATTTAAAATTTTATGGCCTCCAACAACTCATAAAATCAATCAGAAAAAGAACTGAAAGAAACCAAACTGATAGTTTAAAAAAAAAATTATTGAGCACCTATTAGGCGCCAGTACATGTCAGCAGCCTCTTTACACACACCCACATGCACATATTATTGTACCCAGGTTTTGTTAACTACATTTGATAGATGAAGAAACAAAGGAGGTAATAAAGAATTCCATGTACATTGCACATCTATCCTTTTTATTTAAAAATACATTGTTCCTGAAAAAAAAAAGAAAAAATTGTTATAAAAATATGAAATGAAAGGGAAGAATGTACTCTCCTTTAAAAGGTATTTCTCTAGTGCCCACCAGTCACCTGAGAGGGTATTAACATTATGGAAAGAGAGAAAATTCCCTCCCGGTAATCATAGGGTAAATAGAGTTTCCGTGAATTCCGAGCCATGGTCTGGTTCTTTATCGGTGCCTTATACTCTATACCCTATTTAATTAGCCTTGCCCCAACCTGCTTCATATGATACACATAACCCCCTCCCTCTTGCTTTCCTCAACTTTTTTATACAGCAAACAACTGTTTAGGTAAGATCCTTATTTATTTTTAGAAATAAAAGAAAGACTGGATTAAAGGCTTAAAAATATATTTCCATGCTATAGCAAAAAAGTAGAGTGAACTGGAAAATTTATAAAGCAGATACTCAAGCAAAAACCTCAGATACCATCTTTAATTCATCCCTTTGCCTAACCCCCTTACATCCAATCAATGACCAATTTCTATGATTTTTGTCCATCTAAAAGTACCAAAAGAAAACTCTGCTCACTATCATCCACCCTCAATGCAACTTGCCTAATTCAAGCCATTACCACATCTCTCCTGTCCCTCTGCAATCCATTCTCCATGCTATCTGTATAATATTCGTCTAAGAAGCAAGTTATCATGCCATTCCTCTAAGAACTATCAGTGGTTACCTAGTCCTTTTCACATGAAGCATAACTCCTTCATGAGGAGGAGTGATGTCACCAAGATGACAACATAGGTGTTCCTGACTTTGCTTCCCCTCACAAGCACGACTAACAACCATTCCAGAACAAGACAGCACTGAGTGAATCCTCGAACACAGGACTGAAACAGCTCTTGCACTTCAGAGACCCAGAAAGACTGCATTAGAAGGGTAATATCCCTCCCCTCCAGGCCAGCCCAGCACCACACAGAGAGGTGTTCCCTAAGCCAGGGGAGACAACCAGCTCCTCGCCAGCACTGTGGGTCGCCTTGTGGGAGCCACTACGCTGATCTTGCCGCCCAGAAACAGCAGGGGAATCTGTGGGGCTCAAGCACTGGGAATCTGACTGTGATGGAGAACTGGGGAAGGGCTTACAGCAACCGGCACATGATCTTGACAAACTGATTCATACGTCCTGGGGTGAAGGAGGAACCTGTATGGGTGGTTTTGCTCACCTGCAGACCAGAGTCAGGGGTACACACACTCTGACCAGGGAACTCAGGAGGGTCCAGACTCCCTAATTTGGACCCTCAAACGAGGAGTTTTGCCAGCCCTAGAATTCAGTTTGCCCACCCCCAGGCCAGAAGCTAAATCATAGCCCCACACACTGCAAAGTGTCTTCCTACCCCATCTGACTAGAAGGACTGGCAAAAACTGGAAGCAGTGTGGACTGGCAGCACTCAAGCGGGGAGACAGGAGAGAAGAGCTGACTGTCCCCGGAGCAAAGCAAGTCCTAGGAATGCAGCATTCCCAAAAAGGGGAATTAATTCTTAGCTGGGGCTGAGGATAGTTCCAGGCCCTTCCCAACCGCTGAGCCTGCTTGGGAAATGGAGAATAACTAAGGAGGCCCCGCCCCCTCTCACCAAGGCAAGGAGGCTAAAACACAGACCAACCAGTTGTAGATGGAGCATGTCTTCTAGCCCCATCTGACCAGAAATGGCTGGCAACAACTCATGGTAGCACTGTACTCCAATGGTACTCAGGCCAAGAAGTGGACAGATAGCCAAGACTTTACAGAACAAAGCTAGTGGCCCTGTTTGGTCAGGGAACTTGAGATCTAAATCATCTTGAGTTAACACAGCAAAGAGTTTTACTGGCTTTAGAGCTGTTTCTCCTGCCACACTCAAGAAGGGAACCAAACTCACTGTTCTGCTCATTGCTGAATATAGTTCTCAGCTTGTCTGGCCGGGGACCCTAACTAGGGAACACAAGAAGCTCCACAGCCCATGAAACAGCCCTACGTACAGTGATATGTGAACAGAGCACATAGCCTGTGGCCTCTCCAGGGTGCAGAGTAAAACCAGTGGCCTTGCTCGACCAGGGAATTCAGTGACAGGCCTAACTGGGTCCCCAAACAATGAGGTCTGGTCCCATCATGCTGTCCTGCCATCAACAGCCCCGTATACAACTAAACACAGTACCCAGGCCCAGCAATCTAGTACACCTGACCTGACCGGAGAATCCAGGTTACTGTAGGGCCCATCCTACACCCTCACTTGGGTAGGGAACCAAGCCAGCAATCCCATTCAACTGCCCTCAACCACTAGCACACCCTTCCCAATCTCCGTCCTCTGAGTTCAAACAGTTGCCTTGCCCCAAAACAGACTATAATAATAGGTCCTGCCTGCCAAAGGACAATACCAGCAGACATTCCCAGACACCCAAACAGAACTGATTAGTGAAGAATGGTCTCTGCCAAAGAAAACCTATAAATTCGGGAAGAAATGCCCAATCACTCAAATGTGCAGATACCAACGTAAGGAATCAAGAATCATGAAAAATCAGGTAATATGATACCACCAAAGGAAACTAACAAAGCTCCAATAATGGACCCTAAAGAAATGGAAATACATGAACTGTCAGGCAAAGAATTCAGAATAATCCTCTTAATGAATTTTAATGAGCTGTAAGAACACACAATTAAAATTAGGAAAATAATGACAAGCAAAACAAGAAGTTCCACAAGAAAATACCAAGCATAAAAAACAAAACAAACAAAACCCCAGAAATCCTAGAGTGGAAAAATACAGTAACTGAGTTGAAGAATTCAACAGTTTCAAAAGCAGACTCAAGGGGCACCTGGATGGCTCAGTGAGTTAAAGCCTCTGCTTTCGGCTCAGGTCATGATCCCAGGTCCTGGAATCGAGTCCCGCATCGGGCTCTCTGCTCAGCAGGGAGGCTGCTTCCTCCCAACTCTCTGCCTGCCTCTCTGCCTACTTGTGATCTCTGTCAAATAAAAAAATAAAAACTTAAAAAAAAAAAAAAAAAAAAAACTTAAAAAAAAAAAAAAAAAAAGCAGATTCAACCATACAAAATAATCAGGGACCTGGAGGATAAGTATTAGAAATTAACCAGTCAGAGATGCCTGGTTGGCTCAGTCAGTTAAGCATTTCCCCTCGGCTGAGGTCATGATCCCAGGATTGAGTCCTGCATCGGGATCTTGCTCAGTGGGAAGCCTGCTTCTCCCTCTGCCTGCAGCTCTCCTTGCTTGTGCTCTCTCACTCTCTCTCTGCCATATAAATAAAATCTTGAAAAAAAAAAAAGAAGCAGTCAGAATAACAAAAAGAAAAAAAAAAGAATGAAAACAATGATGAAGAAAGCCTACAGGAATTATGGGACATAACGTAAAGAAACAATATTCACATTATGCGAATTCCAGAAGAAAAGAAAGAGAATGGGATAGAAAGTATGTTTAAAGCGATAATGACTGAAAATGCCCTGAATCTGGTAAAAGAAAGGGACATCCAGATCCATAAGGTCCAAAGCACCCCAAATATGTTGAATTTAAACAGGGATACACTGAGACACATTGCAATTAACATCATAAGTCAGGGCACCTGGATGGCTCAGTCAAGCAGCTGCCTTCAGCTCAGGTCAAGATCCCACAGTCCTGGGATCAAGCCCTGCATCCAGCTCCTTGCTCAGCGGGGAGCCTGCTTCTCCCTCTCCCTCTGTCTCCCTCTGCTTCCTTCACCCTCTGCTTGCTGCTCCCCCTGCTTGTGCACACACACTCTCTCTCACTCCCTCCCTCTCTGTCAAATAACTAAATAAATAAACCTAAAAAGCAAAACAAACAAACAAAATACCATCAAAAGTCAAAGAATTTTAAGAGCAACAAGAGTGGGCTTTCTTTCAAGGGTAACCCTGTAAAAGTACTGGCAGATTTCTCAACAGAAATATTTTAGGCCAGAGAGAATGGGAAGGCATACTCAAAATAGTCAAAGAAAATAACTAAGCCAAGAATTCTATAGCCAGTGAAAC